TAGATGAGTGGAAGTCCCTTAGCAGTAGCTTCCAACACTTAAGATTGACCTCCTCAAATTCCAGCTATGAATGTTTTATGAATTTCATACAGGACTACTTACTTACCTAAAGTTCACTTTTGGCTTACCAAAAAAGTTGACTGAAGGAACTGACCTAAGCATATCTCTCTCTCTCTCAAATACAAATGCCAAGAAAGGGATTCCTTGCATAAAGTGGAAAAATGCTAAAAAGATCTTTTCATTTCTCTTTGAAGGCCTTTGTCCTACTTACAATATCAGTCCTCCAGCCTATACTTGTGTTTTTATTAACCAAGAACACATGCACTTTGTTGGCAATAAAGAAAAGATTATTCAATCCACTAGTGCAATCTTCTGAACCGGAACAAGAAAGAGCTCATAACCACTGCTTGTGAACAGTTCTCCTCAACTTAATGCGCACATACTCTTACTAGAAGTCTAGTCTCTCTCAGTTCCAGTTTCGATCTCTAACTAACTAACTTACAACATAGGCCGGAAGAGAGATATTCAGAAAACCCGATTTCCTGTCTTAAGAACCTGACTCAAAAGAAAAAAGAAGATCGGACTAAAAGATATCTCACTTTCGATGATTGAACTTGACTTTTATATCCAAATTGGAACTGGACTTAAATGTCTTTGGATCCTGCTTAGGGCTGGCTTTCACTCCAACTTTCACTTTCATATCAGGAACGTCGACTTGCACTTGCAATATAGAATTTGACTTTCTGGAATCCTTGCTCTTGGCTTATATTCACATAGGCCACTCATAAGAATAAGACGTTCAACTCCCTAAAACACGTGTAATTGAGAGAGTCATCATATCAGTGCTTTGGGAAAATGCCTACCTTCAGGAGAAGATTACCGAATGAGTTTCAAACCTATCATCTTCGCTTCCCAAGATATTTAGGGAAAGGGGCCTTGTCAACCACCACTTGCTGACGACGGAACGCATCATCAGTTAACGGGTTCTCGCCTTGGACTTAGTTGGAAAAGTAGGTGTTCGGCATGTCCCTTACTTGCGAACTTCTTTAGTAGGGCGGAGGTGCCATTCCTCACGTTTAACATTGTCCCCAGACTTCACCTTTTCAACACTTGTATACTTTCTAAAGAGTCAGGCATGCCCCTGACCCTGTCTCCAAGTGTGTGATCTACCGATTCACTGAGTAACTTTTTCTTACCGCTGCAATTGCATCCCTATCTATTAAAGCCCTATCAGACTTCCCTTGCCGATTGAAGAAAGCCTTATATGTCTTCAAACAAGCGAGAAAGGCCATTCATATACTATTAGTCAAACGCGCTAGCTGCAACCAAAAAACAATGCTAACGAGCAAGAAAACGGATGCGCTAAGGCGCAACTTCGCGCAACTGTTGCGCCCTTGCTTCTTGCTTTCGATCCGGAGCTTGCTGGGTAGTGAAGTGGTCTGTGAAGGTTAAATAAGACTTGTGTTAAGCAAGTAGAGTAGTCAAGCCAGAGAGGGGGAAAAAGCAATAAGTTATTTTCGTTCGATCGACGGAATCAATCGTACTTTCACTGCTGTGGACCGGCTTTCATAAAGCACCTTTGGGCAACAACAACTATTGGGATCCAATTTCGAGATCAATTCGACAATGAAACTCTTTAAGCAATGATCTTATCTATGTCATTTCTCTTGACACGATACAAAGACGACTTTCGAGAGTTGCTTAGCCACTTGACCTCTTCTCTAAAAAAAGACGTTGTGCGGCAAGCCGATCAAAGTCAGAGCGGGGATCGAATGTTTATTTACAGTTGTTGTAGTACGACTTTTCATTTCCTGTTCGGTCTTTCAGTAAGTAGTCAGCTGCGGGCGTAGTCATACTTAACATAGATTGAAGCAGCTGTTGGAGGGAAGGCACCAGTCAGACCTGCAAGCACCGGGTAGTATGCAGTGGCAGTTTTCAATTATTCAATATGTACTCTTAGTCTGACTTTTAGCGGTAGTCAGTTGTCCTCGTTCTCCTCTTTGAATTGCCCTATTGAGTAAGGGTCAGTGTTTGCAAAAATGTCGAGCCTACGGGGTCAGGTACCAGTAGTGACAATAGCAAAGAGGGGCTGGACACTAGTTGTACGAGTGGAATGACCCAACTGGACCTAGTCAGCCCGAACCGTTTTGCGGTTCTAGAATAAGAAGAGGCAAAGATGCCAGATCTGGACACTGTTGAACCGGAAGAAATTGCTCAGGATAAATGTTTGGGTAACAAAGCCGAGGAGGGTGTAGTCAAGGAGAGAACTCCCGAGGAGAGTAATTTGGCTCATAGAAGAGAGGGTCAACTATGGCAGCGACCGAGGGGGACTTGTTCTATGATAAACTAATGACTTCAAACAAGAACCTCAGGGCACCCAAAAGAGATGAACCTGAGAAGAGCAGTAAGAGTAAGCGTTCAAGTACTGGTGCTATGACCAACAAGGTGGAAGATCCTCCCCTGGTTCGAATCACCTTGAATGAAGAGTGGGCGAACAAGATGCAAAACATATCATAAATGTTGAATTATAAGAAAGAGGAGGGAGGGGGAAAGTAAAGGCCAAAAAACAAAAGACAAATAAGGGTTGCACAAGAGGAAAAATCAGAGGTAGCGCTAAGGTGCGGGGGGAATATAAAAACAACAATAGTTCCACATGAAGGTCCTTATATGAAATATCAAAAAGATCGGTAAAGTCGAGAAGCAGAGAGAGGCCAAAGATTATATAAGAGCACAAGAGGGAGATTTGGTTGGCTTGGTGGAGAGCAAAGTGAAGAGTGGAAAGGCAGCCAGAATTACCAGATGCTTGGGAAAGAATTAAAGTAAATTCATTACTGTGGAGAATGAGTAAATAAGTTTAACGAGTGTAAGGGCTAGTAAGACCTACCCACTTTATTGAGCATTTTCATTCACTAATGCAACTTGAACAAAATAAAAGTAAAAGAAAGAAATTCATTAACTTCGAAAAGGATGTCAATTAAAAGAGTACTAACTCTCTTCTATTACTTTTTTGTACCGCGTTAACAAGAGCTGACTCTTTATTCACTACAGTCCCGGAACAAAACAAACTTGTGTCATAAGAAAAGCTATTATCCAAATCGAATTTTTCTTTCTTTCTTTCTTTTTTTTTGATTGGCTTCCAGTGTAAGATTAGTGTCTATAAGACTAAGAAAGTATCTTCCAATGCATACAAAAATTGATTATTTGATCGGCATACCCAGAACTACATCATTTTTTTAATTGCTTGGGGGATAGATAAGACATGTTTCCACATTAATAGGGATTAGGAAGGGTCGAAAGGTGAATAGCATGGGTTAGTCAGTTTTTAGACCGATAATTAAAAAATAGACAATATTTATAAAGTTAATAAAAAATAGTCACTATTTTATGCAGAGGTAAAATATGGATAAAAATGTCCTAACTGAAACACGGAAATTTTTAGTATAATCCTGTGTATAAACATCCAACATGTTATGTTGTAACTCCAGCATTCCATACAATTTTAGCCCATTATATTTTGCTAAAAATTCGAACTCCAACATATTTTGCTAAAAATTCGAATTTTCAAGGGTCTTTTTGTTCAAATTTTAGTTTTATATGAAAAAATGACTAAATTTAGATTACTTTTGATATTGCGATTAATTTTCAATGTAAATCAGGCTATTTCTGATTTCTACCCACGAAAGCGGATCAATTATGGTATCTTGAGCCGCAAAAGCTTAACACGTGTACTCGGTTTAATAGATATTTCCTCTTCAAGTTAGAATCTAACTTATATATATTGAGAGTTACACTATCAATTTACTTAAAGGGTTTTGCTAACCTATTACATAGTTGTAGTAGATTAGCATTGTATACAACTTTGCTTTCATTTTTTTGCCCTTTCTAAAAACGTTACCATCATTTCAATATCAGGGACTTTTTTGTCATTCCCCATAAGAAAAACAAAAACCCTCATCCTTCACAGTAAAGGCGCCTCTTTTTTTCTTCTCCACCAGCAATATTTTTCAATCTAAAATTCTCCACCGGCTAATTCCCCTCCCTATTTCTTATTTGTTGTCACTGTTCATCTCTATTTCTTTTTCAGGCGACTTCTCATTTTACTTTTCTAGTACTTATCATTAAAACAAAACTAAGAAAGACTAAAGAATTTCTATTGCAATATTTTCACAAAAATTGCTCCTATCAATTGAGTAATGGTTTGATTTTGATATTGATTTTCATTTTTCATGTCTTTTATACTCCATAAATCTTAACAACAAATCCGAAGAAATATAAGCCATTCACGACAAATATAAAAGGAGAAGATTTCAGTATTTAACTTGTAAAAACTATCAAGAGAGGAATAGTTGGATAGAAAGCAAAATTATAACAAAAAGAAAAAACTCATGCCCACCCAATTTGCAGTTGGCAGAGACGGGGGAGAGCAAAAGGTAAGAGAGAAAGGGGGAGATCAAATTGGACAGAATGACAAAAATTACCCATTTTACTTATGCATTGATAATATGATGTTAGGGGTATTTAAGAAAAATAAAAGATGTATACAATGCTAACCTACTACAAATAGGTAGTAGGTTAGCAAAACCCTTACTTAAATATATTATAGGTAACTTCACTTACTACGGTTTAAATGAAAGAAAATAACGAATCTTATGCGTTATTTATTATTCCCTCTGTTTTAATTTATTTGTGTGGCTATAAAAACTTCTCATTAAGGATAGAATTATAAGTTCAAGTTAAATTGTTACCAAATTTAAAAAGGAGTCATGAGTACTATTTAATAAAAGAAAATATTCCAATCTTTTAAATGAGCTACGTAAATAGTTTCTTTCAAGTTAAACCCAGTTAGTATTACTCGTTCCGGACCTTAAATTACTTCTCCTTACCTTTCCTCGTCTCTCCGCTAATACATGTGGATTATCCCCTCTCCGTTCTACTTTATATAATACCCCCAACACTAAATTCCCTCTCTTTCGCTCTGCATGCTTTCCTCTTTCAATTTATTTGTTATTAGCTTTAGAAATCTGAATCAAAAAACTCAAAGCTCTACTTAATGCTTACAGTGCCTGATCCTCCGCTTCCATTTCCCTTCTTTTCTTGTTCAAATTCAATTAGGGATTAAAGTAGGCAGTACATATCCATCAATGCCGTTATATTTCAATTAATTACTGCGGGATTCAGCCATAGCTACGGTTTGAAAATTGGCGGAGCTCAAGATTTGTAAGAAATACTGTCATTGGAAAAATGGCAACTTCAGCTTCAAATTCAGTTACAAACTCCCCTATATCCTCCGCTGCTCACTCTCCTCCCCCTCCACAACATCAGGTCTCTCTCCCGTACCTAACTGCCTCCTACATTTTCTTACGGCTTAACCTAAGTTGCTCTCTTTTTTGTTTTTTTTTTCTTGCTCAATTCTTGTTCCTTTTTCTGTAGGAGGTCGCAAGCCCCACTGTTCCTGAAGAGTCAAAGGAGAAAGTGGTCAAAGATCCTCTTGAGTAAGTGTATAACTAGGCTTTCTTGTATAACTGCTATTTTCTTGTGATATTTTAGCTGAGAGCGTGGGGTCAGCCTTTACTTTTAATTTTGGTCTCCAGCTCTTTGGGTAATCATGGTCTTAAGTGCAATTTTAGTTTGACAGCATTTAAGAGATTTCTTGCTATTAATTTGTTCATATAAGAATGTCTTTTTAGAGAATAGACTCGTTAGGAATTACTTTTACTTATGGGAATAACAAGTAGAATTTACTCATGGCTGATAGTCTTTTTTTTTCCAATAATAATCTGGGTTTCTTTCATGAGTCTACTAATCAGTATTGCCATTTTATCTACCACAACATTATGGAAAATTCCGAGATGGAAGTTGCTGGAGAGCTTAGGAGAGAAAGAAGCCTTTTCTGTTAATTCCTCCTTTCCTCCACAAAGTCCAAGTTCGAATAGATTGGTCCTGAGGAAAGAAAACACGAAAATTATGTACATGATAGTTAGGATTCAGCTAGTAGATATGCTAATGAAGGAAATATATCGTTACAGACTTCCGGTAATGATAGTCATTAATGGAAGGTGTTTGGCAAATTTGATCAATGCAAGTATGCTTTGGCTGTTAAGGTAGGGGGCAATAACAGTCGCGGAGGTTCATTGTGAATCCTTTGGAGCCCATCTGAAGTTATGTTGACTTTTTTGTGAATATAACCTATCATTATATCTGACATCATGTGCAGCAATTGGATTTGAAAGCATAAGACGGCTAAATGATTTTTTTGTAAAGTAATTGAAAAGCAAGGTCCATTGGCTACTCTGTTATCTCCTCTCAAGTTAATATCCCCCCTTATATTTGCGAAGTGAATTTGTAGTTTTAAACTAAGATGTTAGGTGAATCCTCAGAATACATGCTCTGTATTTAATGACAGAAATTTAGGACACTTTGACTGAAATAGCAAAAGCTGCTTGCCATGGTATCTGTTAAGTCCATGCTTATCACTTATCGGAGATTCTCTTGTATTATCCATTTAAATTGGTAAGCACAAAGATACTCTCTCTGTTTACGAATCAAATAATGAATGAACTGTTCTATTATTTCCACTAGTCTACGTTTGTAGGGCCTGGAGATGACTTTTTGAGTCACTATGCACAATTTTGTCCCAACTTGCTTCGGATTAAGGCATAGTTGTTGTCGGTTGTGGTGGAATAATTTTTGTCCAAATTTTCCATTTTGAAACCTACTTAGAAAGATCAAAACCACGAGGAAAAGGAAAAGCTAAGGGACATAACAGAGGGCTAAATAGGGTAATACATGAGGATTTATGGATCCACCAGTTGCCAATCTACCATATTTGTTTACCCACTTAATCTTGTTAAGTTGCATTAAGTAAACTAGGAGTATTCAAAGTTCCAATTGTGTCAAACTAGCAAAGCTTCGTAGGAAGAGTATAATCTTGTTCCATTGCAAAAGTTATTGAAACGGAAGAGAACAAGAACCAGACAAGGAGGAACCAAGACGAGTAGAACATTTTTAGCACAAGAAGTTTCTTTGGATTGACATTATCGAAGTAGGACTTTCGTGCGGGCAGAAGTTTCACTTTATTTTGACTTCTCTTCTAATTAAAAACATAATCTACTAGTCTTTTACTCTGTATATTGGGAAAAGATCATCTTACTTTTCATTCTTGTCTATTAAATAAAGATAATAAAGTTTCCTTCCATTGAAACAGACTTCATTCACTATTCATTATCGCTATAATACCATAAAAAAGTTACAGCTACCTTATTTGGACCCCACTTTTCTGGTAACCACAGTAATTTCAACTGTACCCTTCATGTCTATGCCTAATCAACTAAAAATGGTTAATTTTGGAGTGGAGTATAGGAAAACAATTAAAACTTTTTAGGTCTCGACTATTGCGTAACACGTCAAAGTTTTCATGTTAGGCCATCGCTAGTTGGATTTTGTCCGTCCTATTCATAATTTTTTTAATCTTCTCGGGATGCTGCTATTTTTGTAGTCTGTCCTATTCATAATTTTTTTTTAATCTTCTCAGGATGCTGCTATTTTTGTAATTAAGTGTGCCTTTCATCTTTTACAGTTAGTATCTTTAAAACAGCTGTCTTGGTGATAACTAAGCTCAATGCTAGTAGCTTGTACACTCTTGCAAGATCTGTGATATTGTGACCATTAGTCTGAGCATCTTAACACTCTATCCCTGGTGGCCTAAAATTTCTACTTATTGGACAGGGCTCTTGGTGGGCCTAGTGGGGAAGTATCTTTGCTGGGCCATTTACTAGAAACGGTTGTTGAGCCCAATCAAAATTCACTTGAAGATTCCTATTAGCTGTTCCACATGTTCAAATATTAAATGTCTTTGCGTATTTGTTTTTTTGATTTTAATATTATCACAATCTACTAAAATAATCCTACTTTTCCAATTATTCACTAGCAGTACATAATGATTTTAGACTGAGAATAGGTTTCATTTCTGTGTTCATATTGCCGAACTCTTGGAAACCTCAGTGAGTGCCGTATTTGCAATTTTCTGAACTCTTTTTTCAAAAGAAGACTTTCTGAACTTCAACAAATACCTATCATCTTAGCTGAATGTGTCTATGAAGTTTTGGAGGTCTGATCGATTGGAGAGGTTGCTCTTTTCCATTAGTTTTCCTATACTTGTTTGCTTATTCTGTGATTATGAATTAGCTCTTGCAGACTAGTCATTCTTGTATAGATTTGCATGTCTTATTATCTGCAATCTGCCTGTATACAAGGTCGCATGGTTTTGCGCGGATTGATTGTTGTTGTGTCAGTGAATGTTCCTTGCAATTCCAATTTTGATTTTTGTGGGGATATAATAAATCTGTATGTACCTTTTTATGGAAGTATCTTTTGCCAAATTTAATGTTCAACCAGCAATCAATTGATACCTTCTTCAGGTGGGTTGGAGTGGCAGTCTACCCTTAATCTTTTTGGCAAAACATGCAAAATCTTAGACAAAGTAAAGGACTCTGTTTATTTGCCCCAAAAATATAAATCCTGTCTATGCATTTGCATCTGTTGAATTAAAGAAACTTGTTATATAATTCCCTACTGGCAATTTAATTGTGTACCACTGTATCAGCTTTTAAATTTGCTGCAGCAGTCATGAAAAATCGTAATATTGAAAAAAAAGGGTTTTTTGGTTTGCTTTTATCAAGTGTTCTTTGTTCTCAATCTTAATTCTGTAGTACTGATCCTGCTACAGCGCTAATTCCAAGTTCTGTGCAAGTCTTCTATCTATATAAATGTAATCTGAACTTGATGGAGGTCCTAATACCTAAACCGTGTTCATGCTATCATGTAGTGATATAGAGAGCCGACAGATTGAGAAGTTCAAGAGGTATGAGGTTGAGTCCAGCAGATATTTAATGTCCAAGTACTTCTCAGACAAGACAATTTTTGGAGGTAAATATTCTCACAGAAACACTATCATTGGTTCGCTCATCGTCCCTTGCCCAATTTAAGTGTCTTTTTTCTGTAATTAAGAAATTATATTTACCGGGAAAAAATATACAGTCATTACAACAAAACCAAACTAAGAAAAACCAACCAACTGGTATTGGACAGAAGGCCCCAACATCAGATAACACCATAGCAACCTGACCTACACCTAGCTTAAGGATAAAAAGTTCAACTTTGCTAATCTTCCTGCTAGCTTTGCCTTCATCTGACCCCTGTAAAACACTTTTTCTATTACCTGCTTTACTAATTTCTGCACAAGACACAATTCTGATCACCCACTAAACCCCATTTATGCAGCCTATCCTTCGTAGGAAGCTTGCCATTTGCTGCTAATTCAGAGTGAATAACTACCTAGGAGAGGCAAGGTTATTAGAAAACAGTTCTGTCCAGTGGATTTTTGGAAATACACCTCTCAGCTTCTGATACATAATCTTGATAGAAAAGGATTCTAAGTGTCTTTTTTTATATAAATCATTATGTTCTCATTTTAGTTGCAGCGCTTAAATTTAAATGCATTTGGCCTTGAGAAGCAATTGTTCTTAACTAATTCGAAACGAGATTTAAGGGGTTTGCGACAATGTTAGACATTTTCTTTTCATAAGATGTAAAGCAAAATTGTTGGAAGACTAGTGGTTTACCAGTGCGTCTTCAATTATTTTAGTTGTGTCGTTTCACTTTGCATCTGCTTTTTAGCATAGCAGAGCTACCAGTTACCGGGAGTCCGGGACACAGACTAGCCACTGGTGAACCAAGTGCCTCAGCATCCCTTAATTATTAGTGTTGAATCAATTTCTTCTTTTTTATTTAACTTCTTCTGACCTATGGCCTCTGTAAATGAATTATATTGAGAACTCAGAACTGGCATGTCTGGATGACCTCTCGCTGAAGTATGGGCTGTGAATATGCTAACTCTTTTGAGTTATAAGAGAATATAATAAAGTTCATATTTTGGTCAATAGTAGTCAATGCTTTAATAATGTGGTTTAGTTTTAGGTTGGCATTGGTTGGCTATGAATTATTTCTTTCGAAAGCATTGACTTCTTTATGCTTTCCAGAAGTAGCAAGGTGATTAGTTCGTTGACATAATCAACTTCACTGGCAATTGTTTGCAGGAAATATCTTTGACGTAAAAATGACTATAAACGGAGAGCAAATAAAAGTAAGCAGGTATGTATAAAAGATATATACAGCATGTTGATTGAAAGTTATGTTTTGAGTTTCAAAAAAAAATTGCCTCAACATCTTCTTTTTCCAGATTTCCTGGGTACCAGTCTTATGCAGATCCTGCTAATTTTAATGATGATAGCAGTAGCGATGCAATTTCTACAGTGGAAACTACACCACAGAGTGCTAATGGGCTGCAGCCTTCCAAAACTGGCTACTAATCTTAGAATTTCTTTCCTTTACCATCCTCTTAATCAGTAGAAATCTCCTGGACTTGTAATAAATTTAAAAAATTTCTAGTAAATCATCTAGCAACGCCAAGAAGCTTATATAATTTAGCAATATCTGAGGACAAAAATACTAACTTGCTTGGAATTGAGGTTTAGTTATAATTGTTATTGTTGTTGTATTCTGAGGACAAGGATAAGAATTTGGACCGCTGGTTGGTTGCTTGTTCCTAATTGTGGTGCCTAGTTGAATAGTATGATGTACCAGTGACAAATTAGCAAATTTATTTACCCAATTTATTTGTTAAAATCCACCACATTTATTTACCCAATTTATTTGTTAAGTTGCATTAATTAAGCACATTTGGAGTATTCGAGCTTCCAGTTACATCAAATTAGCAAAGCTTAGTAGTAAGAGTATAATATTAATCAAATTGCTCTCTTTTTTTTTTTTTTTTACACATGGGAGGTTTACTTTTACACGTAAGAGATTTGTTTTTTATACATAAAAGATTTAAAAATGTTATTTTCTTAATTTTAAAATTGTAAAAGGGTATGATATACAAATAGCACAACCAAGAAGACTAATACATTTTGAGCACAAGAAGTTTTTCTTGGTTTGACACTAACAGAGCAGTAATTTCATTATGGGCAAAAGTTTCACTTTATTTTGACTTCTCTTCTGCAATGAAAATTTACATCCAATTGCCCCTCAAAGCTATTAAAAAACGTAGTCCTTTCCTTTTGAATTGAGAAAATTGTTCCTGCAAAATTTGGGAAACTTTTACTAATAATATAATCTTCTTATAAATCAACGGTAAAGTTTTTACCCATAACATAATCTTATTATACGTCAAATATATATATGGGATTTTTTTTTTCAAATTAAAAATTCATCTTCAAATACAACTTCAACTTTTAACTTTTAATAGTAGTACTATTTTTTAAATTAGACTTCATAAATTCTTTTAAGGGTTTTTTAATTTTTTACGGCCGCTCTCCAAGCCTCCCCCTCAACTGCTGCGCCACCGGCGTCAGCCACTTGCGCTCTCTCTCGCCGTCCACAGATCTCTGTGTCGCTCTTTTTCCTGACTTGAGTTGTTTTCCCGTTATTGGAACAGAAATCATGTTGGGCACCATGCAGAATGAAGAGGACGGTAGCAAGGTTCCAACGTTTGTTGCGACGCATACGAGAACCATTGGCATTATTTATCCGCCTCCAGAAATTAGGAATATCGTAAACACGACTGCACAGTATGTGGCGAAGAACCGTCCGGAATTTCAGAAGACGGTTATTCTAAATTGCGCTGGGAATCCCAAATTCAAATTCCTGAATGCTTCTGATCCTTATCATGCCTATTGTCGCAGGGGCATTTTCTGTCCGCCGAAAATGCTGCCCGCTGTGCGGCAGTCAAGTCCCCACTTGGCTTCAGCCTTGCCCGATTTTCTTTCGCTTTCGAGGTTTAATACTTAGAATAAATTCAAGGCAGCATAAATAAATAAAGGCACAAGCAGATTACGGGAACCATTTCCCAACCTTTTATAATATATGAAATTACAAAGGAAAATCTCGAGTTTGGCAAGGTGCTGCCACCCTTGGCAGGCACCAACTCACAAAAATAGCCGACACTTGCACGATTCTGCCCTATAAAAGCCCCTGCCTAAGGCGTCTCATGCTGCCCACTCGTTTGGCAAGGCAATGACACATATTTTGCCATGCTCAAGCCTTGACATAGATAACCCTATGCCTATATCTTAGATGCAGATCGGAAGGCAGAATAGTAGCCTTATGCAATGCAGTTGCAGATGGAGGTAGAGCTTAACCTCGGAAGGCAGAATGGTAGCCTTATGCAAATCGGAAGACAGAATAGTAGCCTTATGCAATGCAGATGCAGATGGAGGTAGAGCTTAACCTCGGAAGGCAGAATAGTAGCCTTATGCAAATCGGAAGGCAGAATAGTAGCCTTATGCAATGCAGATGCAGATGGAGGTAGAGCTTAACCTCGGAAGGCAGAATGGTAGCCTTATGCAGATTGGAAGGCAGAATAGTAGCCTTATGCAATGCAGATGGAGACAGCGTTTAGTCTCGGAAGGCAGAATGGTAGCCTTATGCAAGAAATAGAATAACAAATGACACTAGAGCTTTCTTAGCTGATAGCAGATTGCGGCATTGTGATTATTGGGAGTATTGTGACTACGGAGCATTACTGGCGTGTTCTGATAGCAAATGTTGGCAAGTGCAACGGTTCTGAGAACAATGTTTGTCCCCTGGATGTACAGTATGTTTAAGGATTTCGCAATCCTAGTGCCTGCATCTAAAGAAAAATCGTGAGTTTTGTAAAGGGGGAGGTTAGCTCGTGTCCCCGCTGGCTTTGCTTGACTCGTTTGGCTTTGATCTGGTGATACCGTCTGTATCATTGGGGTAGCGTTGCTAAACAAAGCAGTTTCAATAATAAACATGCATGATTTTTGTAAAAGTATGACATAAATTAAAAATAGCTTTTAGATGAACCGACGACTGTGACGTAGTTAAGAACATTGCAACCTCTCCTGCTACAAAATTTTGAGGGCCCTCCTCAAAATTCTGCCCCAGTTTGATGGGTTGACGTTTCTGACTGTTGCTCATGCGGCGATTGGCTGAAATTACTTCGGAATTTTGAGGGTCCTCCTCAAAATTCTGCCCCAGTTTCCAATTGTGGGGGTAAATGAAAATTTTATTAAATTGTGACCGAACCCATAGGGCTGCCTACGTATCCCCTCTTAAAGGGGATCAGGTCAGGCGTAGTTCAATTTACATCATATAAGGAAAGCATAAAGATTACACATAGTAACGTTTGACTGCATCTGAATTGATCGGCTTCGGCCAGACTTCTCCGTCTATTTCTGCAAGTATGAGGGCTCCTCTTGTCAAAACCCGGTGAACCATGTATGGACCCTGCCAGTTGGGAGAGAACTTCCCTTTGGCTTCATCTTGATGCGGGAATTTTTTCTTTAACACCAGCTGCCCCGGTGTGAACTGTCTTGGCTTGACTCTTTTGTTGAAGGCTCTGGACATTCTGTTTTGGTAGAGTTGACCATGGCAGTTTGCATTCATTCTCTTTCCATCTATAAGGGCTAGTTGCTCATAACGACTTTTTACCCCCTCTGCGTCGTCGAGCTCAACTTCTTGTATGATCCTTAGGGAAGGAATTTCCACCTCAGCGGGAACGACAACCTCTGTACCGTAAACCAGCATATAGGGGGTTGCCCCAATTGATGTGTGGTGCGATACCCCAGTAGAGCAAATGATAACTTCTCGTGCCACTGTCTATGCTTCTCTCAATATCTCCTTGATATTCTTGTTGGCGGCTTCTACAGCTCCATTCATCTGGGGTCTGTAGGCTGTGTTCACGTTTCCTTGACGTTTTCTGAATCTCCCATGTTGACAATTTCGGTCTCGTCCAGGTTGGACTTAGGTCTGTTCTAAAAATTCTCAACTTCTTTGACAATCTCGTCAGGTATGTCATCTTCCTCTGAATCCATGTCCGTTTGTTGCATTGTCTCATTGCATGTCACAGTCATTGGTTCATCAAGACAAGTAATAGTAACGCTGTATAGGTAAAGTAATGAGAGAAAACGATAGAAATAACTATTAATTCGTAAGAAAAGTCAAAAATGCTTTTGATAATTGTCTTGAACATCGAAGATTTTATTGCGGGAATTGAAAAATGCGAAAAGAAAATCATTTAGTAAATAAAACGGTGAATAATGCTTGTTTTAGCCTTGCTACCCCGAGACTCGTCGGGCGCTGGTTGTCCTGATAGTCCAATTCTTGAGATGTGCCCCTTTGCTCAAGGCCTGTATGGAAGGGCCTTCCTCCCCCTCCTCCTCGAGAATAACGCAACAGTCCATATCACTGTCCTCTAGAAACAAGTTCTTCACTGCTGCAAGTGCTTCTTCTTCATCTGACCCATAAATAATGTCGGCCTGTTGGAAGGTCTGCTCCAGATGCGGTATTGACTGCTCTAGTGGGTAGTAAGGACCGCGCCATGGTGGCGACCAGCTATTGAATTCTTCCCAGGTGTATTCATATCCCAAACGAAGGTAGTGCCATGTTTCTTGAGTTGTATGGGTTTAGAGATTCCTTGGAGGTTCTTGCCTTTAGAGGGACTAGGAGGAGGAGTGGGTGGAGGGCCCCTGGATCTTGTGAAATAAGATGATGATGCCAGAGTGTACGAACTAACCTTTGGGGAGGGGAATAAAAAGAAAGAAAACAAAATAAAGAAAAAGGTAATCAAGTCAGTGAGGATTATAAAAAGTATTGCAATATTTAAACACATAGTGCGGGAATGTAAAGCGTGTCCTAATTTGGGAACCTCTTTGTGCCCGAGGTAGGCCTAGCGACAAATTGATTTGGAGAACTTTTAATGTCAATAAATGCTTCATTTCATAATGTAGGAACAGACAAATCCCAAAACGATAATGATAAAAAATGAGTTACTATTGGCACTTGGCCTTATTACATCTTAAGAAAAAGCAAGAATAAATCTAGCCTATTTGGTCCCAGAAGGACCTTCCTCAGGTTGAATGTTCTCGTTGATCAAATCCTCCAGCTCGCGTAGGCTCATTAGTAAGACGCCTTCACCAGATGTCCTTCTTCGTTTCTTTCAGTGCTCTGGCAGTCGTTGACTCTTTTCCTCACTTTTCCTTCCAATTCTAACAGGCTGTATTCCAGATAATCTAGCTTTTCGCTAGCCTTGACGGCCCTTTCTTTCCATTCATTGATCTGATCATCCGATGGAAGATTCTTCCACCAGTCTAGCAAGAGTGGGGGTATGTTAACCATTCCGAAGCTGGGGACCTCGTGCCTCATTTTCTGCAAGACAAAAGGGTTAGACCTCACCCCCAACAAACTCGACTATTTATACATTTATAATTAGCATATCGACATTTAGTTCTCCAAAGTAATGCACAGAACGTGGTTGCGTCCGTTGGGATTATGGAAAACTCGATGGACTTTGGATAAGGCTTATCTTGAAGGATCATTATGTGGACGACATAACTGACCCGACTATGTTTGACCATGATGCATGCGCAATTTAAACAGAGTAAGGTTTCTATGGGGTTTTAGACTGGTACCCTTGAGCGGACAACTCAAGGGGGAAGGCACGGAACTGTCGACTGCACCGCTGATCGACAAGTTTTACCGCAAATAAGCCTTTCCGAATTTAGGGGGGTAATGATATAGGAAGGGCGCAGCCACTCATCAAGCGTTGCTATAGTATTTTGTTTGGCACGAGTGGAGTACGATGTTGAGCATGATTATGCAATAATT